ACGATCTCATCATCGAACCATCCAGCCTTTTGAGCACGCTCTGCGCGCTGATAACTCTCTGCCGCATATTTGTCTTGTTGTTCACGAGTGATGTTGAAATCCTTTCCTACATTCTCAGATGTTTGTCCCATAGGTTGCATACAATCGGCAGCATCTTGGCACTTGAGAATATCAGGGTGGAAACCACCATCGAGTTTGTCGCCTCCAATCGACATCATCTCCGCACCCATGGCAATACCAATATCAATGCTACCTTCAGCAATTTGGTTCGCGATATCTTGGGTGGCCTTGAGACCTGAGGAGCAGAATCGGTTTACAATAGAGGCTGCGGCTGTATTGGGGAATCCTGCTGCCAAGGCAGCGGCACGAAGTTTGTATGCGGCATTGCCATCGCTGACCTGTTATATCATTATTAGTCGTCGCCTTTGCAAGAGGAATCTCTATAGGTGCTTACATTTCCACAGCAGATATCTTCAATCAGAGCTGGATCGAGGTTGGACTTTTCTCTGACTTTCTGGAGAAGGGCATAGATAAGATAGTCAAGCTTTGTATCCTTGAATCCTCCCTTGAATCCCTTTGCTAATGGAGTGCGAACTGCAAGTGTAATGACAACATCGTCGGCATTTTTCGAGGTACTATTTGCAACATTATTGTAAGCATGTGTTTAGTGATGAAGGGGCTGGAATGTTTACTTACATTGCAGACAATCCTGATGTACCAGGAGTCATATGCTTAACAATTGAGCTGATTCTTTCAACGGCCATTTTGAATTTTGATATATAGAATTCTTTTGAAGATTAATTGAATAAGAAAGGAGAGATAGAAGGGGTATTGATATTGTTTTTGAAAGGAATCCGGGGAGAACGGCGATTCTGTGGGGAATACGTACTGAAATGAAGATACCTCGGCTCGGAATTCTCATAGGCACTTGCCGAGCCTACCCAGCTTGGATTTGTCATCAATTGGTTGAAACTACCGGGACCGATGAGGATATACTATTATTAGGTTCTTCAAAATTGGCAGAAAGATTATCTACCATCTAATATACTCTTCCCACCATTTCGAATCTATAAGCTGCCGTCACATCATGATCGAATCAAGCTTCCATTGAAGTTTTGCAAAAATATACACAATTCATTTTAGCGACGATTTTATATGAACATAAACAAATCTAAGGTCCGACACTGTTACAAGTTAATTTAGGGATAGATGCAACTTCGTACAAACATTTGAGGTTCAAACATTCGGACTACTTTGCTTATAAAGAGAAGAATGCCTCATATTCATGCCTGGCGCTGCGATATGCAACAAGAGCATCTCTTTGACTGGAACTGGATTGCCTCAGGAGAAATATGCCTAAGGTCTCTGTCTGCCTGACATTCGGACACAAGAGTTTTCTCGGAGTTTATCAATGCCCACAGGACTATCAGTAGTAGACCTTCACAAAACCACAGCACTTGAAACAACAGCACAGCAAGAATTTTCATTGTATGAACTCTCACCATACATATAACATACCACCCCAATACAGTACCCCAATCATACCTTCTTCTTCAACATCGCCTTAGCATGACCCGTCCCAAGTGTAGCATACTCCGGAGTCTTGTAATAGATAGTATTGACATCACCAAAACCTTCCGCTGGCACACTCGTTCCATTAGGACCAAATTGCCAGATCTGATCTGCAGCTATTCCAGATTTAAGTACCGTTGCTTGCCTGTGAGAAAAAGTTTGTCAGCCCATTTTTCTTTTATTTCACTTCCCGTCCTCGAGCTCAAAGATAAATAGAAAGGTAACATAAAAACATACCAAGGTCCTTCAGTCTCCGTATGATTATACGGGAACGGCGTCCCATACTCTTCCAAGATGACCGGTTTTCCAACCGCTTTTCCAGCCTTGTCATGTTGTTCAATCCACTCATTGCCCCATGTGTAATTGTATCCCCAACTATTTGGATATAAGTGGAATACTCCATAATCTAATGTTTTGATCTTCAAATTCGCGACCCAATCAATACCTTCTCCACCTCCATACCCGTAACTTCCATCACCGATTCCATCAGCGGGTGCGAACCATCCCTCATCGCCCAATGTAACCATATGATTTGAATCGAGGGATTTGATGTAGCTTGATATATCTGTAGCCCATTTGGTAAGGACAGATGTTTCGCAACCATTGCAGCGCGGTTCATTACCGAGTTCCCAAGCAAAGATGGCAGTGCTAGAGCGGTAACGAGTGACGATTGTTTTGACGTAGTTCTTATAAAACTTTTGGCAAGTTGCATCGGTGTAGAAAGATGTTGACGAACAACCAAAGGCATTGGTATAGGCAGCGATTCCACCGTAATCACCCCAATTGTTAACAAAGTTCAGTACCAGCTTCAGGCCATACTTAGAAGCTGCATGAACCACATAGTCCAGTCGCTGAAGACCATCGGCACCATAATTTATATATGCTCCTGTAGAGTTGAGAATCTGAAAGTAGACAAGATTTGGATCCGTGTTGGTGGAAGGTGGAGGAGTATTGGCGTCGCCAAAGCCCCATACTCGTACAATTTTGTAGCCCGTAGCGGCCATTTGTGAAAATGAGAGGTCTACATCGCTGTTGGATGAAAGATGTGCAAGCCACCAAGCATTTGTGCCTGCAAAGTATTGGACTTTCCCATCGATGTTGAAAAGACGGCCAGCTACTTTAGCATTACTGCCGCTAGAGGAAAATGGATAGAGTGATTTTGGTTGTGCATTTGGAGATTCAGAGGAGATTAGGGGGAGGGCAGTCGCCAAAGGGAGGAGAGAAACAAGAGCTGTGAAAAAAGACTTCATCCTGAAGACTGAAAAGCTTTCCTTGAACGATACTCATAATTGAGAGTTTCCAGACTCTTTTAAAGTAATGAGAAATTTGCTTACCCCTCAGAATCATTTACAAGGGTTCCTGAACAATCTTGGCATACAGCTGGACAAACCTTTTTCCAGGATGATTGACGCATGTCGTCTGGAGAAGATCTAGGATCTTGGGTCATGAGCATACAATAAGAGCCTTTTCACTTGGCTAATCAAAGCAGTAATCTGAGAAAGGGTATAGAAAAGTAAAAATTGTGCCTCGCACTTTAGCCGAAGCGGAAAGTGTGCCTCCGCATTTTAAGAGGCAAAAAATCATCCAATTATGTGGCTAACACTGCAGAAGCTAGGCTCGGAGGTCAACTCCAGCGAAGTAGCCCCCTTGAAATTCCGATGCAAAGATGCATGGGAGTTCAAGCTCAAGATGTGGAACTGAGTAAAGAGGGGTATCGGATATCACTCGCTCAATTATTTTTCCGGTGAAGATGGTAAATTTACCCCGGATATTCGGTTGTACATCCGAACACAACATATTGTATAGCATTTTAACTTACATGAGAACTTATAAATGGGCTCAATTATGGAATTTGTTCTCAATTGTCGAATATGTAGACATTTACACTTTTGCGTTACGCCATTGAAGTCTGGTCTTGATGAACCAAGACATTCTTCTCTCGGGCTATATGACATAGTAGTACTACTACTTAATAGCATATATACGCCATTAGCATCCGGAGATTTCAAAAGACACTCGAATTGTATCTTGCACGAAACAAATATCTGCAAGGTCGCGAGGAAAGATAGCAAAATATGACCAAACATCCTTTCCATCAACAAATAGGAGAAATCGACCTACCGCATAGCTTCGGGGACGTTCACATACTTTAAGCAGCATTAGCATCTTCAGGTACGATTATAAAATTCATTGTGTGAGACCAACCCTTTACATTCCTCTGGATCCATCTTCCATCAGATCAATCCACCATTAACGCCTTCCTTTACACCCACTGAATGAGCACACTCAGAGGACGTAAAAACATTCTTGCCACAATACCGTCGTAATGAGCACCTCAGTATCGGTATCTAGTCGAGTAATCTGCCACAAAGTTAGCCTTCGTCCTTAATCTCATGCGTTTGCTCCCTTGATTCTAAACAGGAGTTGAGAAAGTTAAATGCCACATACCCTTGGGACTAACAACCAAACCTCGACCCTTCTTAGCACCCTTATAAATTGTCTCAATAATATCAATCATCTCCTGCTTATCCTCCAGCACCCAGTTCAGCTTATTGTTGTTACCCGTTCCAAAATCGCACATCATATGTTTATTTCGAAAAAAGAACATGGTCGTGACTGGATCATATAATTCGTACATAGTTTTGAAATCGGGGACTTGATCGATGTCGCAAACGTAGATGACGGCGAAGTTTTTAACTAATTCAGCAACCTCTGTTTCAGATTCGTTAGCTCATAGTCTGGCAAGAGATATTGAATACAAAGTAGATATCGCACTCACTATAGAGCACTTCATCCTGTCGCATACAATCTGGATCAACATCGCGTCCGAAGCGGATCACCACCAGTCTCTCCTCCTCTGACATAATTGCCTGGTCGACATGCCAGCCAGTGACGAGATGAGGAAGAACAACGGAACCCATGGCGAAAGATTTGTAGAAATTTTGTATCTGGAGATGTCGATAAAGATTTGTATTGTTGATACGAAGATAGAGTTGATAACACACTAGGTGGAAACCAAAAAGAACTGATGGCGGGGAGAATCGCGCTAGACCTTAAATGCGCGATCTAGCACGTGATCTGAGACTTCCAATCAATCTCACTACATCTTTTACTACTTCCTTGAAGAACGAAATAGTAAATTGATAACTATTGTCGTCAAGGAGCAAGTAGCTACGATATTTATCTCTACCACACAATTTAATCGTTCTTGCACTTGCGGTGCTCTTTCCGATTGTATTAGTGATTCTTCACTCCCTCATGTGAGATTGCGCCCTGCATATGACAAACCGGAGCTCCCATAATAGCTTTCGAAAATGCGGGGTATATAAGCTTCAAATTGTAAAGATTACTCATAATTTTCGTTAACAGCCATACAATAACTTAAGTCCCAAGGAAACTTAACATTACCCAGTCCCACATACACGAACATGTCTCAAACCGGTACTCAAACGGCCAGCTCGGAACTCACTCTCTATGATCTAGCCAGCCAAGATCACTGTGCAAGTTGGTCACATAATGCGTTGAAGAGTACGTGAAACAACCTATCTCTAGCCTTGCTTCTAAGCTAATATCTCTAAGCGCGTCTACTTCTAAATTACAAAGAGATACCATACAAGACAACATGGATCGAATATCCAGACATAGAACCAATCTTCAAATCTCTGTTCGTAGGTCCCGTACCTCTTTCCTACCATGCTATTAATCACTCTGTCCATACAGCCAGGTCCAGCCAAACACATCTGGCATCCAATACACAATCCCCACAATCCAAATACCAGAAGTAGGCTATGTCCAAGATTCCAGCACCATTGCTACCCTCCTAGAACAGCGCTACCCTACTCCATCTCTAAAAATCGAGACTCCTGAACTCTCTCGAGTCGAAGATTTGATTCCCAAGCTTCAACTCTCAATTCGTCCACTCTGGCTGCCTCTTCTTGCTAAGGGGCTCTTGAATGACGCTTCACGCGTCTATTTTGAAGAGACCCGAAAGGAAAGAGTCGGTATGGATATATACGAGTATGGTGAAAAGGAAGGCAAAGAGGAGTGTTGGGGAGATGCTGAACCCGTCGTTCGCGAATTAGGGAAGTTGCTGAAAGCTAAGGGTGGTCCATTTATTGAGGGAGAGACACGTAAGTTAAATTGGGAATGCTGGATTTATGAAAAGAAGCTAACAAAGACAACGTGATAGCGACCTATGCAGACTTCTTCATCGTTGCTACTCTGCAAATGATAAACAGGATCGATGCAAAAATCCTCGCGCGGTTGGTAGAAATGGAGGACTCTTTGGGAAAGGTACATACAGCCTGTAACCCTTGGTTGAAACGGGATGACCATTGAGAACTGTATGCTCGGGATTCAAATCAATGAAGCATACAAATACTCGTAGTATTGCAATTTTCACTTAGATCATTCATCAAACTCATGCGATGTTTTGAGATGCCATGCACCAATATAATGTCTTACTACCTTAGCTGCAAATTCTGACTCATATGTGTGAATTCTCCAAAATCTATATCCAAAACGGCCTTGTTCAAGATTGTGCCTTTCTAAATCTTATCTCGATGAATCGTCTGTCTGTGTAAACGTCTAGTTCAGGTGGTAGAAGAACAAGAACTATCATCACAAGCTACAGAGCTTCATCTGAATGTCTTAAATTTCCTTATCCCAAGTTCCAACCCACCAGACCATCAGACCCCATCTTGGGTTTCCAACCTGCCAAATATTGTTTAGGACAATTGAAATTGAAAGTCCTCGATGGGAGACAAAGCCACCATGCCAACAGTGTTGCTCATTGGTAGATCGCCCTTCTCACGCACCGGTTCCAATGGCTAATAACCACACAAACTTTCCTTACAAGAATCCCTAACTCACCATTCGCAGTCCAGCCAACCTTCACTGGCTATTTCAAAAACTGTTATTCCATAGCATTCACAAACATATCACAAGTGACACACCTAAGGTCTCTATAGTCTAGGCAAGAATACAAATTCGGAAATCCCAAGACTTTTCTTCAAATCTCCGTTGTAGCTTCCGATTAACCGGTCAATACATTCTTATATCTCTATATATCCCTCGAATTAAATGAAGCTAGGTATCTATAAATTAGACGTACTTCGACCTCGATCTCGATCTCAAATCGCCGATTCGACATTGATACTAAAATTGGTCATGAAGGTGCCAGTGAACAACATAAGGCAGCTTCTCTATGTTGTAATACCGTAACCGCCACACTTCTCACTTGATCTGGAGGACTAGGTCAAACCCACAGCATCAATATGCATGGCGACCGGCATTCACTGCTCCGTCAGTGATGAGTATAGTGAGCTCCCTCGGGTAAACACTTTCGTATCGACTGGGTATGTGAGTTGGCTTCCACATTCTCTTCAGATATTTTTATAACAATCTATCTTCAATAAGTTTCGGATTGAAAAGAGATCCGCTATCCATAAATCCCTAGCTTAGACTGCAGGCCATATCACTGAACACTAAAAGCCCCAGGCATAGTATAAGTAGGACATTTCGCTTCCTCCTCGGCCAAGCGTAATTGCCTGAGACGGTCTCTTTCCTCTTTTGGGATATACGGTGGGAAATTTGGCGGCTCACAACCCTCATATTCCCATGCCACACAAACTCCGTCTTCACAATCATAGGGACAGACCAAACGATAGGGCAGGGAATCTATAGTTTCGGTATCAGTATGAAGTTCTATATCCATCCACGTCAAGTTGAAAGTGTCTGAATTGAAAAGAACATCGAGACTAATTGAGGATACTGAATCAAACTAGACTCAAATGCTCAGGCCACTTCAAAACTTCAATTTTTGCATAAGAAAAATAGATATACAAAAATTGTTGCCAAACACAGTATCTGGTTCTGGATGTCAGAAATTCTGGGGAAGACTCACCGAAACTTGTTTCCGTAGTATTCTTATCAGTGCGATCGATGATAGTAGCGCCTATTTCTCCTGCCAGTGACGAATCATGATCGACGATTTGCGCGTTCTTTTTTCCCGTTCTAATTGATCGGAGTGTGCGCCTCCATTCAAGATCTACTTTTTGATGTATATTGCCTATAGTAACAGGTCGTTGACATCTATCACAGTCATGGATACCGGGTAGATTTTGGCTATCTGGTTCGGGAAGGGGGGAGACAGGTAGTTCTTTCTCAAACAATTCCATGAGCGTATCTTGGGTCCATCCATCATACTGTGATTTCATCGCTGCTAGCTCTCGAGTGACGAAGTCTGATATATCAAACTCTAGATCTCTCAGAATAGTACGCCAAACCAAGAACCCTCTCCTACTGTACATTGCTAGCATAGTCGGCGTTTCTCCCAAAATAGAAGGATAATTGGATAGTCCTTCAAAACAAAGATGTAGATCTGCCGTCGTGGTTTTATCAACAAGGGCCTTTGTCCCTAAATAATCCCGCAACAGCAGGCCTTTTTTTAAAGCATCATGAAGTATCGGTCTTTGCTCTATATTATGTATCTTGCCTGGTACACTGTGTAGAACCCACTGTAGTACTGGGCCATCGTAAAGAAAGGGCAAAATGTAGCTCCACAGAAACCTGCAAAGGTCTGCGGGGGTTCGGAGATAGAGGAAACCTATCTGCTGGACAATAGAAAGTGCCGCCTCATTTCTTTCGGTGTAGGAAAGACCCAACTTTTTGCCATGTCGAAAGAAAAGTAGAAACCTCTGAATGATATGGTACCTGAATTCCTCGTCTTCCGTATCATAACGTCCCAGAAGATCCGCCATTGCAATTTTCAATTTTACATCATTGCATTCACCAAGATAGAGAGCACCAATGGGTTTGCTAGTGTATTAAATATTAGCATAATGTTTGCTCATACCTCAATTGAGTTCAATATAATGTGTGTCGACTTTTTAGAACCTCTATAAAAGGTTGAATGGCACAAAAAACTGCGCTTCAGATCAAATAGACATTCCAAGCTGCGTGAGCACTTCAGAAGAAAGAACTTCTCAAGTGCATTCAAACATCCAAGAAATTCGAACATCGCAAATTGATGCAACGATCGAGACCTGATCATCGGCCTAAAATTGGGACTTGTAGAAAAACTGAAAACAATCTTACATTCGTTTTGTCCACTCCCCTACCTGTACATCTGCACCCTCCGAGAGCAGTAACATCGATATATCCATTTGATGATGGAGAGCGGCATACTGTATATTATACGTCAATTAGTGTTCAAAAATGTCCCAAACGAGAGTACTACCCATAATGGAGTCCGACCTAATGGATCCCTATCATAAGGAGAAGCGTCCCCTCTACTGAGTAGCGTTCTGACGCCACCGAGATTACCTTCACGGCAAAATTGAAAGATTAAAGAGCTCTCAGGAACTGCGCGAAAGGGCTGGAAAGAGTATCGCCATCCTCTTGATGCTAGAATAGACAACTCGATGCCATATCTAACGCCAAGTTTAGCAAGCCACTTTGAAGGGTATATGATCAGTTGAGATTCTTCTTCCACGGTTTCTTTGACCCCAGATGCGTGGACGACTTCCTCCGTAGATCTTAAAGATTCTTTCCAGAAATTCGAGAATGGTCCAGTAATCTGACGTCTCTTGTAAACATAGACGTTGCGCTTTCGTGAACCGATCTCTCTTGGTTTGGGCGATAGCGCAACCGCACATTCGAGTGGTGACTGATTGCATCGTTTATCATCATCTTGCCGAGTAAAGACTTGTCCTATCGAGTCAGGGCGGAAGTGCACCGGCTTTTTATCAAGGCATCCGGCCGACAGACTCGACGGAATATGCTTTTCTGTTAAAATCTTTGCTAGTTGTTGTTCCGTTATTTGCATCCTTTCAGGTATCTGGGTGCTCAATTGGGAGCTCTGTTGGAAAATTTGATAAACGTTAGATATGTTCGGTGGCCGCGCTCTACCGAATATCAAGTTAGTATCCATCAAAATATGTCTATCTAGAATTCTTACAAAAGGCTATTGACTTGAATGTGTAGTATGTTTGTTTTCGCTTCCGAGATAGACTTTTGTAAGGAATCTATTTCAGACCTTTGCAGCACAATCTTCCAAGCAGCCCATTTCCGCTTTCGTAGTTTTGAAGAATTGAGATTCTGTCTCGTGTCTTCTACCTTTGAATGAAGTTTGAGAATCTTGGAGCAACAATCTTTCAACGCTTCATCGAATATGTCAGAAAATGAGTGGAGTTGTGCTAGTTCGTGGCTTTGTGTCAAAATCTTGGAAAGAAGTCCAAGTTCTCGAAAGATACTCGCAATGTTATCCGGAGCATCTTCGACCGCTTTCCAAAAGTCGACTAACTTATGAATAGTCTCTGCAAGCTGGACAGCAACAGACACAACAGCAAACACCGCGGAAGCACTAGAAAGACCATCCATGACGAATGATGTTGCTAGAAAGTAGCGGGAAGGATAAGCTATAGTCAAGTAGGACGATTGTGCGAGAAGCCTTATATAAGGCACACACATTTTATACCCAGTCGAGACAATTGGCACTGCCTCCATAGCCTAACAAAGGATTAAATTCAAAATTCGCCCTCCTCATGCAGCTGAAACGCGCATCCTTTGCTGACATCGAATCAATTTATTCGATGTGGTAGGATGCAGAAGCGAAGATGCATGACAGGGTTGCCGACACAATAGATCCACAGGCCCCTGGAAATTACGCGCCTACCACGTCAACCGATTAAAACGCAGAATCGAAATAATCAATTGATTATCAAACAGGAAGTTGAACTTTGAAGTACAAGAGATAATTTCGAGGTCGATATAGATAGAGATTTCGGAAAGTATTGACCCAGGAAAACGATTTAATTTTTCAATTTGGATTGGGATACGGAAAAGCATTTGGGAAGCTTTGGAGAATCATTAATGAATTCATCTGGAGAGAATATTAGAGAGCATTATGGAGTAAAAGCCCCAGGCATAGTATAAGTGGGACACTTTGCCTCCTCTTCTGCTAAGCGTAATTTCTCCAGGCGCTGTCTTTCCTCCTTAGAAACATATATCGGAAACACTGGTAAGTCTTCTGAATCGTTTTCGAATACATCGTGAACAGATATGCCATCTTTGCATTTATCAGAACATACAAAGCGGTAAGGTAATGGTGGCCATATCTTCCGTTGACTGTTTGGAAGCGGGTTTCCATTTTCGTCGGCAATTACGGTCCAGGTTGAGCCATCCTTCTCAGATCTTGCATGCGAGGAATGGGGCATTTGAGCACGACCAGTCCTAATCTCTCGAAGTTGTCTTCTGAATTCGAGATCGATCTTAACGCGATACATACCAACTGAAACACTGAGATGTTTGCACCTGTCACATTCAGGAAACCCATTGAAGGCTCTCCTTCCCTTGTAAATGGGTGTGTTGAAGTGATGTCGGAACAAGGCCCCTAGTGTTGCTTTCGTCCAGCCCATAGAGGACAAAAGTTTAGCATCAAGCTCCCGCTCGATGAATGCATTAATGTCTTGTTTTGTTTCTTGAAGAAGCTTCCGCCATGGAATGAACATGTCTTGGTCATACATAGCAAGAACTGTTGGGGTCTGTGGTTCGTATGAGCCCCAAGACCCGTAACCATGGCAAATGTGTAAGTTTGTTGTCCTCTCCATAATCATTTTCACAGAAAGCTGATCTCTATGAAGAAACCGGGCCCCGATTACATAGTGAAGTAAAGAGTAAGAACTGATGCTGTCTTCCTCTATTTCGAGAGCTCCCTTGATTCTGCCTATCAGCCAATGTATGAGCTTTCCCGCGTGACCTTCTGATACCATTCCTCGAAGGTACCTCGCCTGAGCTGCGTTACCAGTGCATAGAGATGGAGTTAAAGCTTTAAATACACATAGCATGTTGTCGGAGAGTTCTTCTTGAGTCATGTTGGGCTGTTTGCTTGGAGTGTAGAATATCGCCATCCTGCCAATATCACCGTATTTGCTATCATCGTTTTTAGATTTAGAGTAAAATTCTAAAGTCTCAACCATGGCAATCTTCAACCGAGCTTCAAGCACAAGGGGATTCCGCCATAGGTTGATACCAGTGGCTGTATCTTTCGCTCCAGCGGAAATTAAAAATCTCGCCACGTCTACTTGGCCATAATTAACCGCGGTCTGCAATATGTGAGTGATCAATTACAAGAGTTTGTACGGAGTTGGCCTACCCATAATGGCGTTTTGCCTAGTGGATTCTCACATTCTAGAGATGCATCGCCACGATCCAAGAGGATCTTGACACCGGCGACGTTACCTTGTCGACAAAGATCGAAAATCAATGCATCCTCGGGAACAGCACCAAAAGAATTGAATGTGAACATCCAACCATTATCAACGGTTGCTGACATGCGAATTCCCACACTTAAACCCAGACGATGTAACCATTTGGCTGGATAGAAGACTACGCCAACTTTTGTCTCCGCTGTCTCCCGAGAGCCCAATACATGTCTACTTGTCCTTTTCGTCGATGAGGACCTGATTCGAAATGAGAAGATAGGTGTCTGGCCGTCAGCCTCCCACGACTGCATTTTAGAAACCCTTTGAGCAGTGATTTGTTCCTTAGAATTATTGGCAGAGACTCCTCCCGAGGGCGCAGATAGATTGTTCCGCAAGACCACGGTGTCGGTAGTCTCGGAACAGACATGGATTTTATTGCCCTGATATAAACATGGCAGGCTTGCATCTGAAGTATTCACGCCCGCTGAGAGTATGGACATATCATATGAGGGGAGAAGCGATGTGGACCTATCCATATGCCTGTGGTTTTGCGAGTATTGTACTACAAACTCCTGAATCGCGCTCATACCCTTCGAGGTAGCTTCTTGATGTCGGAGAGCCATTTCCACCATATCTCTATTGAGATCAGAAAATTTCTTTAAATGATGGATGTATAACTTACAAAATAGCATCTTGCTTGATCATCTGCACGGCCACCAAAGATTCTCCTATCGACGCACGCATTTTTCTGATTTCTTCATTTTTCAAAATAATTTTCAGAGCAGCCCACTTCCTCTTGCGAGACGAAAATGAGGTAAATGCGGCCATCGTAGGAGACAGTTTTGACGAAAGTTGTTCAACTCTCTTTTGACATTTGGTTAATATTCGCTTGGCAATCGCATCATAGGGGCTATGCTGAGCAAACTTTTTCTGATTTTGAATTAGGGCCGCCGACAAAAGCTCCAAATCGTTGAAGAGGTCACAAATATCTCCTGGTGCATCCTCGACAGCCTGCCAGAACTCAACTAGCTTTTTGACACTTTCGGCTAACTGGACGGCGAGGGATATAACAGCGAAGGCAGCTGAAGCACTGGAAAGACCTTCCATACTGAAAATCAAACTATGCAGAAGAATACGAAAAATAAAAATAGAGAGATGGATTTACGTGCACTGGAAGCCTCATTAAAGGTTGCCATTGCCTAAGTTATTTTCAAGGGCGAATGAAGCGCCCAGCGCATGTTCAAACGCAGGGAGTGCTTATCCACGCACTCCGTAGCCCTGTCAAACTCCGCTTCCATACTTCTACCACATCTTAAAAAAACAATTGGGTGTGATTCAACGACAATGATTTCTGTCGACCGAAGCTGGATTCTATCCTTGAAAAGACTTATTTTGCCACCTACGATCATATCTTTGAAGCCATGTATTGGCTTAATTTACTTATTCGGTCTTCCGAGGCCCTTAAGTCGTAAATAAACATCACAGCCCCATCCATAAAGCGACTGAATTTCGATGCCACCCCCAAAATATTCAGCGTATGCTCTTCCAAGTGGTAGCCCGTATCCTAGCCCAGCAATCGAGCTACTCTCACCCCCAGCGCCTGATAAAACATTTAAAGCATCCATGCTCCCGTTGCTGTGGCTTTGCCCGGGTAATTCGTCTTCCTCCGAAAATGTTGTAAATGAATAAGACCATACGTTTGGTAAAACTTCAGGACTGATTCCACCTCCTCGGTCTCGAATACGAATGGTAACACCGGGAGCGGAATCTTCAAACGGTTTGATTGTGGGGTTGCCATCTAGAATTACACCCGGGCTAGACTTACTCTGTGGATCATTTATCGTAGAGAGCTCTGGCTCTGCAGCTATCGTTATAACTACTGGTTCATTAGACCTACCAGATTCGACGGTCGCACGGAAGGCGTTTTTGAGTAATTCAGTAATTATGTATTCTAAATGCACTGGCACAAATGCAAATGTTGTCTCCGGTTCTCCATCGATAATCCAACTTGGTCGGACGCCGTATTTAAGTTCGCAGATTTCTGAGACAAAATTTCCACATGAATTCACTATTGACGCCGGGTTCAAAGCTGTATCTATAACACCAATGTAAGATGATGGCTCCGCCTCGGAATGCCCCATCTGGTGAGGTTGAGATGAGAGATGTAATGCGATGTGTTGCTCCGCGATCAACCGAGTACCTATTCGAGCACGAAGATGCTCATCCAGAAATCGCGTCACCTCAGACGGACTTATGTACTTTCGGCATTCAAGAAAACCTCTTGCAAGAGTTGGAATTGTGTGCGAGTGTGTTTCCACCAAATCTGCCAACACCTCCGTAAACCTTATTTCGTCTTCCAAGGTAGATATGGTTTTGTATGGTAAAAGGGTGGATAATGAATGGAGATAATTATTGTAGATCCTTGAGATATTTGGATTTGATACTACGATAAATGGCAGATTTCGCAACGCTTGTATTCTGTGCGCAAGACGAATGGGAAGGAGATCGAGCGTGAAATTCGCAGATGAAAACAAGGCTTCTGTTGATAAGGATGGGCGGCCATGTCTGTTCAATAGGTTAGTATTTTGAGAGATCGGGAAGGATATCACGGACTTGACCAAATCTGCCAAGCTCAATGGATGCAGAGGTTTGCTTGCAAGATTCGCGATTTCGCTATCTGCAATGGTGGTTGAGCTTGGAGGATGCGACCATTTATGAGCTGATGGCGATGGATAACGGGCGGTGCTGGCATATCTTAAAGCTGATTTAGAATAATGAAACCATTTCTTTGCAGGCTGGGCAGAGCTCAAACTTCGGAAACAATTATTCATGGTGACATTGGGGATCGGGGAATTTGATGAATGTTTGTAACAACATGGCGTACAATTCTTCTGTTGTCGACACTGGACTCGCTAAACATTAGATAAACACCTAGGAAACTCTTGGAGGAAAACGGTATGAGTGTCCCAACTTCAGTTGATTTTCTACTACTAGATAAATACATAATGCTTCCATAACTCCCATTCCACCTCAAAAACGGCCGTGTTTCTTCATTTGACGTCTATCCCTACTGGGTTGTTACCTCGCCATTTGCTTCCACAAATTCTACGTGGTCGTGCGCTTCTAAGGTTGTGACGGTGCCTTCCGGCATCTCGACACTACATAGATGTCAGAAAGAGAATACGCAAGTAAGAAACTGTAATGTAATACACAAAACCTGGCGAGACACCGGTGCGGTCGTATTCGCTCTTAACCTCGCACCCTTGCTCTTCGATGGCCTTTCTGGCTCTACAACATTTGTAAGTAATTTGCTACGCCGTCGCTGGAGATACTTTTGGCTCGTACGCAGTATATTGCTCCTCTGAAAGGTTCTTCTTGACTCCGACCTAGGTATAGTGAGTCAGTTGTATGTCCGTATATGTCAGGAATGGACGTAGCGTTCGTACAATGTAGGAAGACATGGTGGTGGTTTGGCTTATGAGGGGTTCAGTGGGGTGGTGTATGTCTGAAGGTGTGTTGATTGATCAAGATTATAAAGTCTAGTTACTGGGTAGGTCGATATATAGTTTATAAGTAGGAAAGGAAGAAAACACGAAGGCAGAGATGAAGTCTTATATAGATTTTGAGCAGAAAGGTCTCAGGTGGGATGGGTTGCATGTTACCAAGCAGATGGAGGGGACCTCTATCACGATTCATGATGGCCTACTCATACGTCATCTTTTGGGCTGACACGTCTACGGTTATGGAGGGGGTAAGCTTTGGAGGGCGGCCCACAAGATAATCATGAGGCATGTGGCAAACCGCGCGGGGCGATATAGCTACAGGAGTAGATTGGCTCCATTGGTTAATGGGGGAAAGAAGGCTTCATACAACTTTTCAAGACTTTACACTTTTTGGTGTTACTTGCATGAGATTCTTCATCAGGTGCCACTGCATATCTTCAGCCGTAAAGTTGGTCCAATAGCCAATAGCCGGCTAACGTCTAAACTCACCAAATCCAAAACATACGTTCCCTATCCTGGAATGAGATCTGGATGTACGACCAAGTGGGATCTATTCTCAGTCTAATCGTCGCTTTTTCGACAAGGCAGGCTAATAGAGATGAGGAAACCTTCAGATGGGTGAAGGGGTGAACTCGCTAGTTCGAAAGTGGATAGAGAGAGCATTGGACATTTCTGCTGATTCATCCGCCCGCGAATACCTGAGTACAGAGTAGAAAGTACCTAGGTAGCTCGGTAGGTAAGGGTAAGAGTAAGACGAAACCTGTAATTCGAAAGGGCTTAGTGTGTTCTGGATTTGGTAAGTCAATATGGTATCCGAATACCAGCTTCCCCATACATACCAGCAAGATGGTAAGCTATCTACTAGTAGCCCATCTCCATCTGGATGAAAATGGTTGGAGTGGGACCTCGGGAGTTATTTATAGCAACCTTATCGCGGTACCACAACTCTCGATCAGTGCCACAAACGCCACAATTTGACACCTTCCTGTCCAAGCAGGTACTTTGATGATAACGGTTCAATTGAATGGTATACGTTCACATTATAAACATATTCGCTGTCCAGAATATCATTCATGAAGAAGAAGAAACAGTAAGATATATTGTGTATATAACAAGATCTACTTTGACGATTTGACGAAACCCCTATAATATACTTGCACCATATCTAGTACCGATCAGGTACTAGAGTAGAACATAAGGAAACTAAACAAACTGGGGAATATGGACAAGATACTACATCTACTCAAACACCATCCGCGAAAGCTCCACCACCAGCCGCAGTATCAACCACAATACTATCCTTCAGACCACAAACATCGAACAGAGCCCTGGGCGTCAGGTTCTTTGGAGTTCCTACGACACCATCTCTCTTCAATCGCAAGAAAGTCTCTTGGATTGCCAAATATGCTGGAGCGAGAGCAGCAAAAGAGAAGATCATGATACGGAATCCCATCTCTTGTGCTTCCTTGGTGGTGATGATTGGGGTGCTGCCATTCTCAACCATGTTCAAGAGTATTGGCCATGGGGCGAACTCCTTCACAGTCTTTGCAGCCATCTCCTTCGAAGTGTAACCCTCGAGTAAACCAACATCAGCACCCATATCCCGAGCGACCTTCAACCTCTTGACGCACTCGTCGTAGCCAAGTTGTTGTAGTGCATCTGTGCGTGCGATCAACACAATATCGGAGTTCATGGCCTCTTTGGCGGCTTTGGCTGCACGAATTCTCATGTAGAACTCTTCTGCTGGAACAACCTTTTTGCCTTGGAGATGTCCACAACGCTTGTTTTGGATTTGGTCCTCAATGTGGAATCCAGCAACACCGGCTCTGATATACGACTTGACGGCTTTGTCAATGATGAGAGGGCCTGCACATTGGAGAAAGGGTCAGCTATTTGTTTGTGAAGAATCTTGTGCACAATCCCACTTACCACCGTAACCTGTGTCCATGTCGGCAATCAAAGGTGGGCCATAAGGATCAAGATTTGCAATCATCTCGGCATGCTCCTTCATGTCAGCCAATTGGGCTATGCCAAGATCTGCCATGCCCAAGCGGGAGGCCGTGGTACCTGCTCCAGTCTGGACCCGAAGATTAGCAACGTGTTTCCCCACGGGTAGCTAGCGCTGCCATGGAACTTTAAACGTACCATGTAAAGGGCTGAGAAGCCGACTTGCAGGGCAACTCGTGCAGAGATACCATCGTAAACACCAGGGCAAACGATCAACTCATTGGAGTCCCTGAGCATGTTCTTCAACTTTGTTGCGCCGCTTTCAAAGCCTGTCGTTTGCTTGACCGCATTGTTGAATGTCAACATGACTTTGTCTGAGTAGGCAGGCATATCAATGTTGAAAACATGAGTTTTACCATCGTAAGGTGTAACAGCGCCATCTGGCGAACTTGGAACCTAGACAATCATCATTAGCTTTGACTCTCTGAGTAACTGCTTTGATGAATGGTGCATACCGAATACTCAGTCACAGTCGCTATGGACTTCTCTTGGAGGATTGGGAGTGATTCCATAATGGGAGCCATAATGATATCAAGTGTAATGTAGAGTAAGTAGTGATCTTGTTGTTGATGATTGTATTGCAGATATCACTGTACTATTGGTGTGCTTGATGATCGAGGTGACTCCAAGCGGGGACTGAAGGGGTTTTTATAGATCTCTCCGACGACATCTCCTCGGTCTCGGTCTTCTCTATCTATCTTCTTTGCCTCTTCGCATCTGCCTGCACATTATTTTTCCGTCCATTCAGCGCCAACGAAGACGAGATGTGTCCAAGAGATGAATCTCGACCTCAATGATCGATACCTAATGTATCACCTCGCAGAAGGAAGATGAGAATGTAACGTCTTGGTACTGTATTTTGAGTCGTATTCTACATCCTCGTGGATGTAGATGCAGAAAATCCCGCAATGTCACGTCCTTATCACATATCATAGATTAGATTGGCTATCACCATTCTAATGCGAGTGCCGGCGGGTATCATTACTACCGTCGAGGTTATACCGAGAGATACATGAAGAATCGGCATCAGATGCAGGCAGTTTTCAAGATTACACCAAGACCTAAGAGCTGCAGGAAGAGCATGAATCAACTTCCCTGCCATACAAAGAAATACCAAGGCATACATGGGGAAAAAGCTCCAGTATCTTGAAACCCGTTATTCTTCAAATCAATACCAAGTGATGCAAGCTTTGTCAGAATTAAATTCATCTTCCCTACAAAGTAATACCAAGGGCTACAGGAAAAGTCAAAGCCGAATAATTCCTAAATACCCAGCCCTTGGCGATAATTGCCCTCAAGCTTAATTCTCATCGTTTAAAAATTGAAAGTCATTCAGTACCTCCTCTACAGTTGCATGAGCTTACGAAGAGATTACTACACCAGCTCCACACAATAGAGTTCCTCCTTATGTCTTATAAGTCGAGATATCCATAACATCCACTCGTATTTCGAGGTCTCGGCCTGGATCACAAGGATTTTGATAGGTCCGCTCGGTGTGACAATTGTCCTTTAGTATCAAAATTTCAGCCTTCAGCTGTGCTTTTTGCTTATATGGTTACAGCGCTAAAAAGGCCCTTTTCAATTTTGTTGAAGAAACGCTCCAAGAGCCAAGCTGGCCAAGCCAAGATTGGCCTATCCACAACATGTATTCCACCCTATTGCACAAGAAATCGACAATAAATCAACCTGTGATGTTCTTAGAAAAATTTATCATTATTGACAAAAAACAATGTGCTGAGTTCAAGCAAAGCGGTGTGTACAGTTTTTGTTACACAATGGTTCAGCAGGTGAAAAATGAGAGTATAATCTTCAGGTTTGGGCACATCTACGGAAAGTTGAAAGGGGTTCGCATAGTTCTCCACTGCTTTTCAACGGGTATTAGCGACTATGGAGCACGCAAAGTGCCAAGGCAAGATTAAGATAACGGACTGACCCGAGTTCTATGCATTAGGGAGATTTAGGAGATAAGATTTAGGTGATAATGTTGCGAAGGTCATACCGAGTCTTTCTCAAGACACCCATATTAATTCACTCATCTTGGAAATAATTGGCGTAGTGGCGAAAGCGTTGTGGTCCCGCAATCTACGATATGTAGCAATAATTCCCACCTCCTCTTTACTCACGGGTAGCGGAGACAAATTGAGGATATTCCGGCTTGGCAAGAAACGATGTTACCTCGATAACCTAAATTGATTGAATTCGCCAGCGTGGGGGGTTTTCCCTTGAAAAATCTTCCATCGGACCTCCTTGATGTCTCGTTAATCAAAACGCCGCTGATGCGCATTTCATAAAGAGGGGGTTTGGCGCTTATCTGCTCATCTATCCATGAATCCAAGCAGTTCAGTTTCTTGCCCGCTTTATTACGCTCCCTTCCTCGGACGCCAAATTTCAAGTTTCTCTAATCTGAAAGAATTTTCGGAACAAATCTCACCGAATCAGATCAGAAGAAGATCAAGATGTCAAAGGAACTTGAAGAGGCATTGCCACATCACAACAGCGTGGACATCACGAGACCCGATGATCCTACTGAGAAATCCTTTCATGCGAAAATGAAGAAACACTTCGCACAAGAAGTAAGCACCGATCATGCAGACATTTTGATGTTGATCTGTTGTCTCATCACTGGATTTCTAGACAGCACATTGTATAATGGTATGGTAGACATGCAAAGATTACAAGATAGAGACGATGACTGACGATCAATCATAGCTTTCAAGACCTTCGTGTCTATGCAAACTGGTAAGTCTTGACGAAGGATCTCCACACACATCACGCCATTCATACGTCTCTCCCTTTTGGCCGCGCTTTAATCTGATAATATGGTACAGGCAATACGATCTTCGTAGCTCTCGGTGCATCGGATCAGAACAATCGACCTTTTGGTTGGGCAAGATCGCTCATCTCGATCGGTTTCTTTTGCATTGGCTCCTTTACCTTCTCAAGATGCCATCGCTTCTGTGGCCCCCTTCAACGGAGTACTCTCGTTGCTTCGTTCTTAATCCAGAGTTGTTGCATCTTGCTATCAGCCAGTCTAGTTCAGGGCTTCGTCATTGAAGGCTATGTACCGGCTGATTTGGGGACTCATTGGGACCAGGTTGGTCCGATTGCATTGTTAAGTTTCCGTACGTTGGTCTCTATTCATCACCTGCTCTGTTGATTCGTCGCAATTGCGATGGTCTCACAACTACTCTCACTTTCTGTTACTTTAACTTGCATCTGGAACTTTCTTCTCCAGCTCACATCCACGCCAATGTCATTCTAACAATTCTACAGAAGCAGCCGGTCAAATCGTCTCTTCTCGCTTCCTAGGCGTAGGAGAAGTCCCTACCATTGTCATTACATCGCTTCTCTGTGATTTGTTATCCGATCCTCTTCTCTTTGCTTCCGTAACGAAAAACCCAAAGAGAAATCGAAGAGCGATAGCTTTTGTATTGACCATGGTAGGTGCGATTGTTGGAGGGTGGGTTAGCAAGGTTACAAAGAGTGTTAGTCCTATGCTCTTTGTAGCGGGTGGTTGTAAAATTGTGTTAACCCTAGTCTGGGGTTTTTGGAAAGAAAAGGTATAGAGGACGGAAACTTGATCTTTGATCAGGGGTGAAAACACGAATTATAATAATATAGAAGGTGGTGGGTGGACTGCGTGATTAGAGAAGAACAGATAATTTAGAAGTGTAGATGAATATAAATTGTGCAGTATCCCATACCAAAAAACCCGACAGCAAGTAGTCGTCTTATCAAGGTTCTCTCACCGTCCAATTATACTTCCATATGTCCGGCTAGCAGCAGCTAGCCGTCGCTAGCCCATAGATTTAACTTTTATCAAATCCAGATTCTTCTATCATTATAATCCTTGTGATCTGATAAGGGATAAGGATGGATTATGTGGTTAGGCTAACTGTAACGGGACTAGCGCTTATTATCGGAGCTGATTTTTCCGATGCTAGGTAAAAAAAATATTTCGAATCTGATGAAGATTTCAATGTCGTCGGCGGATTAAAGTAGCTTTTCAACTACTTCAATCAGTTAATCATGGAAGAACAAAAGAATAGGCCTCATAGGGCCCCTAAGGAGAAGAAGAAGCAGACAGGAGGTTAGCAATTATTCTTTCAATTGGTAATGCCTATATGCTAACATGTTTGACAGAGCGCAATCCCAAAGCATTCAGTTTCGCAAACCCAGGAAGATTGGCAAAAAGTGCTGCAAGATCGCATGATGTATGTTCAATCACCTAGGACTTGATGCGCTAGGTGACTAACTTTTGCAGATCAAAGAAAGACGTCTTCATGTTCCTCAAATTGATCGATTGCCAGAAGAACCACCGCCACGACTTGTTACAATTGTTGGACCACCAGGTGTTGGAAAGACGACTCTCCTCAAATCTTTAGTCAAACGATATGCAAAAGAGACACTATCAGATCCTCAAGGACCCATTACAGTTGTCACTTCGAAGCGTCAAAGACTTACATTTGTAGAATGTCCGAACGAACTCGAAGCCATGGTGGATATATCCAAGGTGGCAGATATTGTGTTGTTAATGATTGATGGAAATTTCGGTTTCGAGATGGAGACTATGGAATTCTTGAACATTTTATCTTCGAGTGGTATGCCGGGTAATGTTTTCGGAATTCTCACACATCTAGATCTTTTCAAGAAACCACAAACTTTGAAGGATGCAAAGAAACGACTCAAGAACCGATTTTGGAGCGAATTATACCAGGGTGCACATCTATTCTATCTATCTGGAGTTATCAATGGACGTTATCCGGACCGAGAAATCCATAACTTGTCGAGATTTATTTCTGTTATGAAGAACCCAAGACCTTTGATTTGGCGCAATACACATCCTTACACCATTATCGATAGTTTCAGGGATATCACCCACCCTACCAAAATTGAGGAAGACGAGAAGTGCGATCGAACGGTTGTCTTGTCAGGTTATCTACGAGGAACAAATTTCGCGGCGCAAGGTCAAAGGGTTCATATACCAGGCTTGGGTGATTATTCAGTATCTGCTATGGAATCATTACCAGATCCTTGCCCTACACCATTCATGGATGCAGCGATTGCCAAAGCATCTGGAAAGACTGGTAGAAGACGTTTGGATGAGAAGGAAAAGAAACTTCATGCGCCAATGTCTGACAAAAGTGGATTGAAAATTGATGGAGACACTATTTGGATCACTCGTGAGAAGGGTTTTAATTTCGACGCAGATGCCGAGGATGACGAACGTGGGGAGGGAGAAGAACTGATTGTTGGTTTACAAGGAGAAAGAAGGCTCCTTGGTGAGACTGAGGAGGGCGTCAGATTATTCAGCAATGGTGAAACTATCAAGTCGGTTCCCGAGGAAGAAGATTCTGGACGAAAACATCAAAGACGCGCAAGATTTGTCGAAGGAGGAGATCAAGCTTCAGACAATGAGAACCTCGATGGAGTTGCCAGCGACGAAGAATTCGATTCTGGTGATGAAGCAGAAATTACCGAAGACAAATTAGGAAAAGCATTCAAGAAAGACAAATATGAGGCAGGTGGCGATATTGAATTCGCTGACAGTGATTCTGATCTTGGTTCAATTTCTGGTGATGAATTGGATGAAGATGATTCGGATTCTGATTCTGATGATGAAGATGGGGCAGCTCGCTGGAAACAAAATATGTTGGAAACTGCACGCAAACTTCATGGACAACGAAAATCTTACCGAACTGCAGATTTGGCAAAACTTATGTACGATGAGTCGCTTACTCCAACAGAAGTGCTCAAAAGATGGAGAGGGGAGATTGAAGAGGAAGAAGAAGACATTGAACAAGAAGAAGACGAAGACGAATTCTTCAAGAAGACTGGTAGAGAGGACGAAGATGCAATCATGGATGATCGAGCAATTCCATTGCTTGATTATGAGAAATTAGAATCAAAGTGGTCTGTGGAGGATAATATCGAGGAACTCCGACAACGTTTTGCGACAGCAGATTTATTAAAGGGTAAGGGTAATGGCAGTGGTAGTGACGATGATGAGGATGA